AAAAATCCTACACAGGATAGCATCACTGTTAGTGTAGAGGTTTACCTAGGTCGTGTACAGGTCAATGTGCTCATCGGGATCCGTCGTGCCGTCATAGCGGTCGAGATGGAGAGGCTTCCATCCACGGGGGAGTGGGGTCTCCATGATGCCGTCCACAAAAGGATGTCGGCGGAAGGTTTCGTGGCCTTCTGTGGCACGTGTGGGTGCTCTGCTGACATCTGGGCCCGGCTTGTGCCTCGATGCATGAGATCGGTGCGTGGCGGGTTGTGAAGTCGGTGCCCTGGTCGCAGTCCGGGATTGAGAGGCCGAGTGTGCCTCGTCTTCATGGATGTTGCTCCCGTGAGGAGGGCGATCAGAGGGGCGTCGAGGGAGTTGGGCGCGAATGCGCTCGTTTTCTTCACGTAACGCTGCGAGGTCTGCTTCATTAGTTGTCCGCATTTCCGCTAGGTCGGCTTCGTGCTTGGCGCGCATGTTGCGCAGGTCAGTGTCATGCTGCTGTCGCATATGTTCGACTTGGTCGATCAATCTTCTCAAGGTTGCAGCGTCGCTGTCCATGGTGATTGAGTGTTCAGCGTCGTCTGTTACTCGTCTGCTATTTCTGGTGAAAACCATACAGGTGGCCGATAAGGGCTGTCTCGATCGGCCCCACGGTGGGCGCCAAATGTTCTTACCAGAAATCTGCTATAGAGCTGATCTGCCAGGTAAGATCGGTGAGCCTCCTTCACGGGTATGCTGGTGCTCCAAGATGGGGGTGGTACCTGCAAAAGAGACTCCGATGCTAAAGTTAGGGTTTGTATGAGTAATAGTCTCGTATATGTAATGCACGTACCTTGGTGTGATTTAGGGTTGCTTTGGGCCTTGGGCCTGAGATGAGGTGTAATATGATTAGATAACGGATCTCGTCCGGGGCGAGATCCTCGGGGATCAGTTATGATTCTCTTAAATACCGAGCTGATGTCACGCGGTGCGTGTCCGAGGTCGGCTTGCGTTATGGTACTGAGCTCGGAGCTCGGTTACGCAGTACGGATAGTACACTAGCCCCCGAGCTCCGAAGACCGTAGGTCGAGGAGTTAAGACCGAGCTCGTCAGGGAGTAGTGACCTTTCGCGCATGCTTGCCTGTCAAGATGCCATGTGTTGCAACTGTCGCCTCGTTCTTGAGAATGTGCAAGTGGCGTGGTAACGAAATTGTACTTTTATCTGTTTGATAACATGGCCTCTTTGGGCCGTTGTCGTATTCCGATGTCCACATTTCATGGCCGAGCTGAGGAACTCGGCAATGATGAGTTTACTGCTTGGTCAGGCTGGTAAACCTTTGATTGAGTCAATAGATTGGTGAAAGACAAGTCGGCAACTTGGCTGGTGGCGCTCGTTGGGCCGTCACGGTTTTGTCCTTGAAAAGGCGCCTCGGTGGGTTAAAGAGGAAGAGTGTTTATAAACTACCCTTAGGATCGACTCCTAAGCGATGTGGAACTTTTAGGCATACTGGAACAAGCCCCCAGTTGATGCTAAGGGGCAAGAGTGGCCTGGGCCCTCCTTCTAGCGCCAATGTTCCTACCGTAAGTCCGCTGTCATCGTTAGGGTCACCGCATCCGAGGTATTGTCCGCTTTGGCGCTCGTTGGGCCGTCACGATTTTTTCCTTGAAAAGGCGCCTCGGTGGGTGAAGGCGGAAGAATGTTTATAAACTACCCTTAGGATCGACTCCTAAGCGATGTGGGACTTTTAGGCATACCGGAACAATATATATATATATATATATAAAAGAGAAATTCACTTGCTTCAAGAATAAATTTATTTAAACTTATTTCAGTCAACAACTTATATTTTATATTAAATTTTAAAGATTCAATATTAAATTAAAATTTTTTAATATATAGATCAAGTCTGTAATATTTTTAAAAAATTTAAAAATTATTTAATATTTCTTTTTTATTAATTTAAATCGATGTATTTTTTATAATTATCCGTCGATTTAAATTAATAAAATGGAGTATCAAACAACTTTTAAATTTTTTAAAATTTTACAAATTTAATTTATGTATTAATAAAAAATTTTAATTTAATAATTAAATTATTAAAATTTGATATAAAATATAAATTATTGAATAGAATAAATATAAATAAATTTATTCTTAAAATAAATCGATACTTTTTCATATATATATATATATATATATATTATTTTAGACTTTGTCAATGAAATAAATGGCATGAAAAAGATAGATAAAAGAGGACAAAGGCCTCGTGGTTTGATCGGAAATGAGATTGAGTGGGGAAATGCATATTCTCTTCCGTTTATTCCACGTGGGACAAAAGATTCTTTCTATTCATTTCTTTCATGAACTTCAGTAGGGTACCACCACCACCACATACTTTGGTCCAGTAACTCAATTCCTAACTTAATTAGGACATTTAAATTATGAGTTAATCACTTAGAGCATGAGAGTTGCTTGTTCTATGAAGTAATTCAAGTTCTAGTTTCTTATTATTGGAGGACTCTGACATGACAACATAAGTTGCTTGAAGAAGAGAGAGAGTTGTTTCTTCAAACAACCGTTCCTTACTAGATTTTAAGCAAATCTTATTGAATATATTTGAAAACGTTTCAGAAATAATAATGATGAAAATTAATTTCGTATAATATTTATGTATTTATTATTACTTTATTTTATTTTTAATATCTACTTATTGTGTATTTTTTCTCGTAATTTATTTTCTTTCATTGTAGCATAATTATCCTTTTTAATAAAAATTTAAATTTGGTTCATAAATGATTAGAAAAAAAATTCTAAAAGTTGAATTTCTTAAAGTTTCTTACCATTAAAGTAAATTTGTGTTTGAGTTGTTTAATGCTGATATGGCACATTAGGGACCACTTTTTTCATTTTTCAATGCATGAAGCAACTCAAATGAGTTGCTTCCATTGGAAATGCCCTTATATACTGTTAGTGTAAAGTTTTTTTATACTGGTAATCAATTAGAGCCGTTAATAGTGCCTTTTCATCTGCTCATTTAATTAAATTAAAATAAAAAGTACTATTAACGGCTTTAATTAACTGTTAGTGTAAAAAATTTACATTGACAATATATAGGTGATTAAGTCTTAAATTATTTAAACTATAATGTATTTTTACATTATGTTAACCATACTTTAAATTACTGAACCAAAATAACTCACAGTTTAAATTACCTATAGTTCTAAAAACTTGGGTCCAATTATAATTTTTCTTAAGATTAATTATGTTTTAGTTCTTGAATAAATTTTATACTAATTTTAATTCTAAACTTTTTACGATTTTCACGTTTAATTCTTGAATTTTTTTTTGTAAGTATTTTGGTCCTACCATTAAATTTTTTTTATTCATATAAAAACGTTTCAGATACTAAAATTAAATAAAAAGTGTTCATGAACTAAAAATAAAAACTATCAAAATTCAGAGACAAAACTTATTTAATCCTTTTTCATTAAAAAAAAAAAAAGAAGCTAACCATAACAAATGTTGTACGAGAAAAATGTAGAATGATACTAGATCACTTTTGGCGAAAGTATTTTACTGTACAAGTTTTTTGTTTCTTTTACCAATCTTTCTTTTTATTTACATCGTTTAATTTCTCCCTGCTCGTGTACATATTTTCCTCCCAAGTAAGCTTGTCCCATGCGTTGACAACTAAAATGAGATGGAGATATATACCTACAAGTGTCTCATTCAAGTTAAATGGTTTGTGTGAAACATGTTAAAAGGATAAATAAGTGGAAATTATTTTTCAATCTAAAAATATTGTTCACATTGATTTGTTTGGACTCACTCAATTTGTCTATGTCAATAAAAACAGATATGGACCAATAGTGAGTGATTAAAGTAGATGGACATTTGTTATATTTCTAATTCATAAAGATAAGTCTTTTAAGGCCTTTTTTTTATACATATATTTTGCAATTGTATTCAAAATGAAAGATTATTTGCACCACTTCAATCAAAAGTGACTATAAGGGAGAATTTGAAAATGTACATTTTCTAAAGTTATGTAAAGATAATAGAATTCTTCATAATTTCTCTATTGTTAACATATCACAACAAAATAGTATAGTGAAAAAAAAAAAGAATAAGTCATTATAAGAGATAACAAAGGACATGCTTAATGATAATCTTCCTCATAAGTACTTTTGGGCTGAAGTTATAAGGACTGCCTATTATCTTCAAAATAGAATGTACATAAGGTATATTTTGAAAAGAAATTTAAAAAAAAAACCTCCGAATTGTGTAAATGCAACAAATCCAACTTTTCATATTTTAATATTTTGGATTGTCAATGTTTTTATTTTAAATACCAAAGATAATTTACACAAGTTTGACTCCAAGGTTGACATTTAAATTTTTCTTTAATACTCTAAAAACTCCGAGGCATGCAAAGTTTACAACTCTATAATGTTAATTGTAGAAGGAATTATTCATGTCAAATTTAATAATAATAAGCTTTATATGGAACTACCAGAGTTGTATGGAGCTTTTGCAAATCTAGATATCAATGGAAGCAAGCCAAAGCTATAGTCTAGTGAAGTTGAACCAAGATTATCTAAAATATAAGTTCCTGAACAAACTAGAAGAAACTCATTTTGAGGATCATATTCTTGGAAAAGTCCAAGATAAAGTGAGGACAATATCAACTTTTAGAGGTCAAGCCCAAGTTGTAATCTTATATTAGATGGAACCAAAGATAGCGGGACATGTCCTATTTGATGAAGGATGAGTGAAAGCAATGTAAGAAGAGCTAGACTAGTTTTAGAGGAAGGGTGTATGAAGTCTTGCCCCTTTACTAGAAGACAAGTTTATCATAGGAATTAAATGGGTTATCAGAAAGAAAAAAAAAAAAGAAAAAAAACTAGACAAAGCTAGAAAAATTGTAAGGAATAAATCAATATTAATAACTTTAGGATATTCACAACAAGAAGGTATAACCTTTATCGAAACTTTTTCCTTTGTAGCTAGACATGAGACCATTCACATTTTACCTTCATTTTTTGCTCATCTTTTTACACATTTTTAATGACATGAGTTGTTTGAATGTATGATCAATTGTATGTTTTGGGTTGTAATTGTATGATCTAAAGTTTCTATGAGAAACCCTAAGGGAACTTGTTGTGATAGTTTATGAAGATATTAATTAATATGAGTAAATTGAGTGATTTGAAATGTTAATTACATGTTATAGAACAGTTTTTATCAATTGTATATGTGTTTATACATGAAATTGGATGTAGGTAACTTGTACGTTGAGGAGATGTGATTTCCAAGGAAGAAGATCGCGTACTTGCTAGTAAGACGTGTTAGGTCGCTTGGCGAGAAGTCCTAGGGGGATCATCTTGCTCAACTAAATGTTGGTCACTCAACGAGAAGCCTTAGCGGGCTTGACTCACTCAGCTAGATGTTGGTGACTCAACTAAATGTCAGATACTCGACTACATGTTGTTGAGCAGCGACTGTTAATTGGTTGTTTTAGCCTTGTAATTTTGATACTACCTTTTTACTAATAGCTAGCTAACATATTTAAGAATGTACATAGGATATATGAGGTGATAATTGAGGAATATGTGATATCACTACAAGAAAAATGCTAATTTTCAACGAAAATTTCCGACGAAAAAGGGTAAATTTCTGACAGATTTTCTTTTTTCCGACGGATTTAAATCCGTCGAAAAAAGTGGCATCGAAAAAAAAATCTGTCGAAAATAATTTAATCCTTCGAAAATTTTCGACGGAAATATCCGTCAGAAATTTCCGACGAAAATATTTGTCAAAAAATTCTGTCAAAATTTTCTGACAGAATTTTGGTCAAAAATTTCTGACGGAAATTATAATTTTTTTAAATAAATTTATTAATGTAACAGCCCTCATATTTGGCCTCTCAATGGTTCTATTTCACGATATTTCACTTTTTAGCGTGTTTTATCCTTACTTGCGCAGTTTCTAGGAAACTTCCTAGAAGGTCACCCATTCCTATATTACTCCAGGACAAGCACGCTTAACTGTGAAGTTCTGATGAGTAAGCTACCGAAATGTATATGTATGTTGTCAGTATAACTTGTATAAATTAATTTATTTAAGTTATCCTCAAATATACAATCTCATACTTGTACTATAATAATAATATATAATAATTTTATTTTACGAATAATAATAATAATAATATATTCAATTATTCTTTATTTATATGTACTTACTTTTATAATTAACATCTACTTATTTCTATTTAAAATTATAATTTAAATTATTTAATTTTATAATTTATAATGATAATATAATTTATAAAATTATAAATATTTATTTATTACATACTTATAAATTAAATTTTAACATTTTAAATAAATTATTAATTAATTTAATATATTTATTTACCTTAAATCAAACATATAAAATT